TGCTTCCAGTTTTGGGCTCCACAATTCAAAAAGGATGTGGAGAAGCTTGAGAGAGTCCAGAGAAGAGCCACGCGCATGCTCAGAGGTCAGGGAAGCAGACCCTACGATGACAGGCTGAGAGCCCTGGGGCTCTTTAGCCTGGAAAAGCGCAGGCTCAGGGGTGATCTGATGGCCACCTACAAGTTTATCAGGGGTGACCACCAGCATCTGGGGGAACGTTTGTTCACCAGAGCGCCCCAAGGGATGACGAGTTTGAATGGTCACAAACTACTTCAAGATCGTTTCAGGCTGGACATAAGGAAGAACTTCTTTACTGTCCGAGCCCCCAAGGTCTGGAACAGCCTGCCACCGGAGGTGGTTCAAGCGCCTTCATTGAACACCTTCAAGGTGAAACTGGATGCTTATCTTGCTGGGATCCTATGACCCCAGCTGACTTCCTGCCCTTTGGGCGGAGGGCTGGACTCGATGATCTTCCGAGGTCCCTTCCAGCCCTGATGTCTATGAAAATCTATGAAATTTGGAAAACAGAAAGTATATTGTGGATTTGTGACAAAAGTCTAAATGAAGGTTTGGAATATATCTGAAATTCAGTCTTAAGGTCCGCATTGTTGTTATAGGACTCTATGTTGGCGATGTAAGGCCAGTGGGCTGGACTCAGCCTATGGAACCTTTGGATCTGGTCTCAGGAGCCGTAACTTAGGTGACATTCAGCATCAGGGGCTTTGTCCACAGCACATCGCCTTTGGGCGCCAAGGGCTTTAGGGAAGGCGAAGCTTTCCTTGTGCCATGCTGCAGTCAGGCATGCAGGGTCTGGCACAGGTGGGTTCTGCCCACACTACTGAAATTGAAGCAGCAGAAGCAGCTGGGTCCTAGTGCCTGCCTGTCTCAGACTCAAGCTGGGTTGTTTCAGCCCTTGGCCAGAAAACATTGCTGACCCCTGCTCTATGCTAATGGTCTAAAACCCTACAGTGATACCGTACAAGCTGTTCAAAGAAATCCTAGCCCCAACAAATCCATGCAAGTTTTATTATTGGCTTCAATGGAGCCATGCTTTCCACTCATATTATTTTGGAACATTATAGTATCCAAATTTCCAGAGAACAAGAACTGAAAGGTGCCAGTCAAAATATGTTATCTTTCTCTGTGGTTGTTGGACTGGAATGTAGCATATCTGGAATGATCTTTTTGTACTCTCCTGAGTCTATTGCACTCCCATGTGAACATGCAATACTGATCTCACTATAGATCATGACATTCTAAAAATATGTGCCCTTATGGGTGACCCCAAATGGAAGACTTTCATCTGCAGAAAACAATTTGCTGACAGCTGGACAGTCCCAATGGAGCATATGCCCTCAATGCATCCACAGGAAATTCACGGAAGATGCAGA